TTAGCAAAGAGCAAAAGTTTGGCCTCCTTTGTCCCCTTTTGAATAACCTTGTACCTTCTCTTGCCTGATTGCATTTGGTTAGTACTTCCAGCACTATGGTGAATAGCAGTGGTGATAGTGTACATTTTTCTCTCATTCCAGTTCTATGTGGAAACACTTTCAGTTTTACTCCATTAAGTATGATATTGGCTGTGGACTTGTTGTAAATGGCTTCTAAGAGTTGAAGAAATGTCCCATCTATGTCTATATCCTTCAGTGTTCTTGACAGAAAAGGCTGCTGAATTTTATGTCAAATTTTTTTTTTCTGCATCTGTTGAGATAATATGGTCTTTGTTTTTGCTTCTACATATGTGGTGAATTACATTTTTGGATTAACATATATTGAACCAACTTTGCATCCCTGGGATAAAGCCTACCTGATTATGATGTATAAATTTTTTAATGTGTAGCTATATTCTGTTTGCTATGGTTTTATTGAATATTTTTCTATCTATATTCATTAATGTCTGTAGTTTTCCTTTTTTGTTGTATACTTTTCTAGTTTTATATCAGGAGGACATTCCTTTCATAGAACATGTTGGCGAGGGTGTCTTCCTTATGTATGTTTTGGAATAGGCTCTGTAACATAGGTATGAGCTCTTCTTTCCAGATTTAGTAGAATTCTATTGTAAATGTATCCAGTCTAGGGCTTTTCTTTAACAGATTTTTTTTTTTATTATTGCTGCAATTTTGGTGCTTGATATTGGTCTGTTCAAAATTTCTTATTTTTTCTCTGGTTGAGTTTAGGGAGGTGGTGTGATTCCAAGTGTTGGTCAATATCCTTAACATTTTCAAATTTCTGGCTATAGAATTTTTGTTGTAATAAGTTATTGGTCTTTTAAATATATGTAATATAATAGCAAATATATGTTGTTATTTCCCCCTTTTACCTTTTGGCTAAGGTTATAGAGATTTTACTTTTCTATTTTTCTACTTAATCTGGCTAAGGCTTTTTATCAATCTTAGTCTTTTCAAAAAACAAATATTTTGTCTCACTAATTTCCAAATGATTCTTATAACCTCATTTTCATTGAATTCTGCTTTAATTTTGGTTATTTCTTCTCTTCTACAGGGTTTGGGATTGTTTGTTCTGTATTTTCCAGCTCCTTGAGACTGTACATTAGGTAGTTGATTTGCGCTCTTTCTGTTTTTTTGGATGTGGGCATTTAATGTAATAAATTTCCCTCATATTGAGTACCTTTGCAGTATCCAAAAGGTTTTTATAGCTCACAAGCTTCATTGTTCTTTTATTTAAGAAATCTAATGATTTTATTTTTTTATCTCATCCTTGATCCTGCTTTCATTCATCATATGGTTTTTTAGTTTTCCTGATTTTATGTGAGGATGAAGATTTTTATCCCATGGTGGTCTGAAAGATATAATTTGTAATTTCTATTCTTTTAAATTTGTTGAGATTTCATTTCTGCCCTAAGATATGATTCAGTTTTGAGGGATGATTCATGGGGTGAAGAGAAGAATGTGTACTCAATTTTATTGTGATGGATGGAATATTCTGTGTGTGTCTGCTAAGCCCATTGGTTCTAAGGTTGTATTTAAGTCCATTGCTTCTTCGTTTAGTTTCTTCTTGGAGGAATCTATCCAGTTCTGTCAGAGAGGTATTGAAATCCCATTATTACATGTTACAGGATATCATATTTGTTAGGGTTCATTTTATATCTGGGAGTATTTAAGGTGTGTGCATAAATCTTTAGGATTGAAATGTCTTATTATTGTATTGTTCTCTTGACCAGTATATAGTGTCCATCTTTGTCTTTATTTTTGTTGGTTTAAATCCAATCATATCTACAATACATACTTTCCTCTGATTTCCATTAGTCTGAAATATTATTTTCCAACTCTTCACCCTGAGTTTTGTATTGTTGTTAGATGTTAGATGTGTTTCCTGAATACAATATACTTTTGGTTGGTGCTTTTTTTTAAATCCAGTCAACCAGCCTGTGTCTCTTCAGTGAAGAATTCAAGCCATTCACATTTGTTGAGAGAATTGATAACTACAGTAGAGTTCTGTTCATTTTATTTTGCAAAAGTCCATTGCTTTGTTTTATCCCTTGCATGATTGTGGAAACTAGGCATTGTTTTTTAGTCTCTGGGTGTCTGCTTTGCTGGTGGTCAAGATGGTGAGTGTGAAGAATGAGTCTGACTACTTCCTGCAGAGCTGGTCTTGTTGTGGCAAACTTTTTCAATGTTTGCATGTCAGTAAAAGATTTGATTTCTCTGTCAAATATGAAGCTTAGTTTAGCAGGATAGAGAATCCCAGGCTGAAAATTGTTTTATTAAAGAAGATAAAGGTAGATGACCACCCTTTTCTGGCTTGAGAAGTTTCAGCTGAAAAGTCTGCTGTAACCCTGATATTTCTTTTCTTGTAGGTTAGAAGTTGCTTACACCTGGCTTCTTATAGAATTTTCTCTGTCATTTTGACTTTGGTCAACTTAATATTGTTTTATCTCAGTCATGCTGGGGTTCTATAACTATCCAGTGTCTGAATTTCTGTGTCTCTCATTGCTTTTGAAATTCTTGATCATGATGTCTTGAAGTAGAATTTCCATGCTTTTAGGACTCTTTTTCTCCTTCAGGAACCCTTCTGATTCAAAGATTTATGCATTTGGTATAGTCCCATATCTCTCTCAGAGAAAGTTCTGCCTTTAATCCCTTTTTTTTTTTTTTTTTTTTTTTTTTTTTGCTACATTGAATGATTGGGTTGGTTGAAAAGTTTTGTCTTTGATTTCTGAGATTCTTTCTTCTCTATGTTCTTCTCTACTGCTGAGACTCTACTGTGTTTTGAACCTCCTTGAATGCCTCTTTCAATTTTTTTTTTAGCTCTGTTATGTTCTTCCTAATTATGTCCAAATTCTTGGTGATTTTGTATTTAATTTCACTGATTTCTTGAGACAGTTTTTGGATGTCCTTTTAGATTTATTTTTCTCTTTTTTCCGCAATTTGATTCATCTTATTTGCTATCGATATTCTAAATTCTATTTCTGTTATTTCAACAATTTCTCTATGGATGACATTTTCACTTGTCTCTCCTTTGTAATATTTTGGGGAGTTGTTTTGCTCTGGTTTTTCATATTGCCAGGGTTCTTCTGCTGATTCCTCCTCATATGTATTTTCAGTTTATTTATAAATTTATTACATTTATTAAGCAGGAATGTTAGATTGTCCCTAAGTTGCTATTAAAAGATAAATCTAGCTGGGGTCCCCGAGGCAATACCTAGAGGATGTGTTTGAAAACTAAACTGGCAGGCTGAAATCAATTTCTGATGCCCTAGGATATGGATCTTGCCATTCTCCTTCAGCACTGACTATTCAAATGAGCTGTTGATTATTCCTGTGGCCTTTCTAGTACATAGCCTCCCGAAGTTCCCTTAAGAGGCTACAACATGTGCGGGTTCCTGACAATGACTTACTATCTCCAGGTAAGGTGTTGTGGGCAGAGGACTGGGCCTCCAAGGGATGCTCCTAGACCAGAGGCAGCTCCCAGGGCGTGAGCCTTACTGTTGCATCCTCAGTGCCAGCCCCACCCTGAAACAAATTAAAGAGCCTCACTTTCAACCTAAATCTTGGCTGAAACAGATTCAAAATAACTGGGCTTTTGCTTGCGGGTGTGGGAAGGGAAGTCTGTGGTTAATTGAACTGTTGTAGTTGAAGTTACAAAACCACAGGTACAGCCATAGTCCGGGCCACAACAGATTCAAAATGACTGGCTTTCGCCTTAAGTTGGGGGTGGGGGATCTGCAGCCTACCATCTGCTTTCCGTAAATTTCCAAGAGTAGAATCACTGAGGTTAGAATTGTCCTTCACCAAGTGAGCAGGAGGGGGAAATGTAGTATTTTTAATTTATGAGGCTTCCCATCAAAAGCTTCCAATAATCAGAAGTGAGGCCAGGAGAAGTGCCTCAGAGACTGCATTTCGATGAATTGGGAAAGATCAAATTAACTAATGGTGACCTGCATGTGATATTCACAATATTTTAAGGAGTATGTGAACGTGTGTATGTATGTGTGTTCCCTAAACCTGCGAGACAGAGAGACAGTGATATGATGGTGAGTGGAGGACAGGGTTGCTCAAAAACATAAGATCAAAAAATAATTGGCCGGGCACGGTGGCTCATGCCTGTAATCCTAGTACTCTGGGAGGCTGAGATAAGTGGATTGCCCTGAGCTCACAGGTTTGAGCCCAGCCTGAGTAACAGCAAGACTCTAAATCTAAAAAAAAAAAAAGAATAGCCAGGTATTGTGGCAGGCTCCTGTGGTCACAGCTACCTGGGAAGCTGAGGCAAGAGACTCACTTGAGCCCAAGAGTTGGAGGTTACTGTGAGTTATGACACCTATGGCACTCTACCAAGAATGACAAAGTGTGACTCTCTCAAAAAAAAAAAAAAAAGAAAAAGAAAAAGAAAAGAAATACTATTTATTGGTAGCAGAAAAATAATATATTGAAGCAAAAAGTTACATATTTATTTTTATGACAAAGTTCACCTAAAATAAGTGTTCACCTTTAAAATTTCAATTCAATGTGAAAAGTATTATGCATTTTTGATGCTGGTAGAATATATTAGTTTTTTTGACTATAGCTTTAGATCCCTTTGCGGTTGACAAATGCTCATTCAACTGTTTCTTACGGGCCAAGGTGTTAATAAATAAAATATTATAAAAATTAGCTGTAAGCAATATTAACACTATTTTATAATTAAAAAATACTTTCCATTCTATGACATAATTTTGATTTTATAGCTTTTACAGATTATAATAGCATTACTAGTACTAGAGTAATTAAAAAACAAAACAATAATATTATGAATTTTGTTTCTTAAAAATCATTTTGTAATTCAAGCTGTGATGTTAACATTCTTTTAATATTGTTAAATGCGCATTTAAAACAAGTCTCAGCATTTATGAAATTGAATTTTAAAAACTGAAATTAGAAGGAGTGAGACTTACCAGTGTACGGCCTCTTCCAAAAAAATGATTAATGGCTGGAGGATGAAAAGTGTCAAACTCCTCAAGATTTCCCTAAAAGGAAAAATGAGAGATCCCTTTTAATTCACATTTTATGGAAGTTATATTATGCTACAGGTAAGGTAGTTTATCAGATAAAAAGGGAAAGCAGCAAAAATTGTCACTTTAATAAAATTAACCAATTAGCATTAAAAATACCTTAAAACAGGAATCTACAGCATTCCCTTCATGTAAAGTATTATAGCCCATATTTATAGAATACATATAATCCTAACATCTTTCCCTGATATAAAAGTTCATGCTAAAAAAGGACATTAATTTGTTGATGTATCATAAACCATTATCCTAAATGATAATGCATTAAAACATAATGTGACTTTTTGTATGAGATTTGAAATCTGTTTCTGTTTCTCTTTTTCATAAGACAATAAACCACTCCCATTTTCCTTTCGTGTTATACTACTGATTATTTAGTAAAAATCTACAGTTCTTTCTCAGAGACTTTCAAAGCATTGTCTCTCATTTTACGATTATTATCTGTAGCATTCTTTCCCATTATCTATGCCACTGTAGTACTCTGGAACTGTTGACAACTTTCAAATTAACATCACAATAGTAAACATAAAATACATGAGGCTATAACCATCATACATAATGTACATAAAAACTTTAGTATATTTTAACAGAAAGAATGGAACTCAATAGCTGACTCTTTATGAATATTTTGAGCACAACTCAAAGAAAAGTCACCCATAATTAAACATTTCACTTAAAATTACACATTTAATGACAGAATTTTTAATTGGGCAACAAAGACCTAATGGAACAATGAAATGCTTAAGGATAGGTTGGTCATCTATACTGAGGTCCAAAGAGGAAGACGTAACAATTCTGTCAAGTGCTGGTCATAAAGGAACAAACTTTCAGGGTTCAGCGTGGTATACGATCCCTTTCCTCCACACACATACACAGCCAACATTTCTTTTATCTTACAATGTACTCATGCTTTGTAAAGCAAGCTCTAATCCTACCTAGTCCATAAAGCCACCATTTCATTCACATTCCCAGTATAGGATAGGCTTGTTCTAGTATTAACACACACTCCATCACATATTTTCACACTTCTTGTCCACATATGTAGTGTATTTCCACAACTAAATTTTTAGTTCAACAATCTTGTTCTATATTCCCTGTCTGTTCAAAATCTAGTAGAGTTTTGACTACTTAGCAGGGACTATACAGAGAGGTCAATTGGAGGTTTTTAGTTCTACCTCCTCATGTCTGAAATGGTCAATGTCAAAATCTTCATCGGCTATTCTAGAAATGATTTTTGGTTTCAAAGGACGAAATTGCTATTTTGTATAACTTGAGCAAACATTCTTGCTTAGGACTAATAGAAAGGAAAATTCAAACTCCTATTTTTTTCACATGATGTTAATGAAGTGTTATAATTAAAATCTTACAAGGTGCTACTATAATCTTCTGCTGAATTTATCAGAACCTAAACAAAATAACACTTGTTGAGGAGTTACTTTGTGCCAGTTCCTTACCTACATTTCGTTACACTTCAGAACAACCTAATGAAGTAGAAGGTACTTACTGCTGATTTCCCTTCTTTTCAGAGGAGAAATCTGGGGCAAAGAGACTTTCAGTTACTTAGATAAAACCTCTTCATCCATAAATTGGTGGACCTGGAACTGAAAAGCAGGCAGTCTGACTCAGAGCCTGTCACTCTAGCTACAGTAATATGCTACTGGAGTCTACAGATCACGTACACTAGATACGGGGAACAGAATGCCATACAGAAAGAATGAGAATGATAGTTTGAAAATTATCAAATATAGAAATGACTTTTTTAAAAATAAAAGTATTAATAGCAATTTCTAATGAGCTCTACTCTTCTACCTTCTCTCATCATACCCCAAGAAATCTTAGGATCAATATTTTCTTAAAAAGGGGACAAACATTTAAAAATGTATTATCTATATACAGGACTATATTTAGGAGTTTAAATATAAACCTGAATTTCCATTTGGATGTGGTCATTAGAACTTGACGCTATCAAACATGTTTTATAATACATCGGAATTTAATTTAAGTAGGATTTAAAATGGCTTTCAAATTAGATCTCCACATTCACTTCTCTCTTTTTAAAATCTTAAATATTTATATATAATAAATATGTCTATTATCATTCATAATATATATTGTTATTAACAAATACAGCATCTGTAAGAACCGAATATAATTTTGACATTTGGGGGCTACAAACTTCACATTTTTGTACACCAGCCCTTTCGCTCTTTATTTTCCAATAATAAAGCATTATTTATTAATAGTGATATTCAACACATTTGCAGTGAGTTACTCTTTCTTTCTGTAAGATGATTTATAACTTATTATCAGACTTATTAAAAAATAATTTTTTAAGATTCAAATAATTTATTTAACTTGGAGATAGGACCGTTCACATTTACACTTCAGGACAATTAGTTTTAAGCAGGTTGAATTATTACCCAATGTTATAGAAGTTGTTGTTAGAAGAGGTTGATTTTTTGTTCTCTGCTTTTAGAAGCTAGTTTTCCTAGTCTTTCTTTTTGTTTCGTTTTATTCCTGTGTCATATTGCTTTTATTTTCTGGTACTTAATATTTTGCTTTTAGCTCACACAAAAAGAAGGGACTCTCTTTCTTTTTCACACACAGACACACAAATGAGCCAGTGGGCTGTGTGGGAAAAAATGCTATGTATATTTTAGCCCATAAGATTTGTCCTTTTAAATTCAGAAGCCAATCCAGATCCTTCATGTGTATTAAACATTTAAACCAATTCTGTAAGCATCAAAGTCCCAAATTCCTAAGGCCACTGGTTTTGAATCTTCTTAGAACATGAAAATAGACTATAAAATATATTCTGAACACCAGCAGTTAAAGAGACACGTGACATGAGAAAAGAGAACATTCACCAAGTATATCTTCTGATCTAATTAAAAAGTAAATTGATTACAAAATAAAAGAGAGTTTCTGAGAGTTTTAAATGTACACAATTACAGAAAGGAATAAAATGATAAAAAAAAGTGCACTTCACTTCTCTTAAAAGTCTTTTAGCTTTTTTTAATAAAAGAATGCTGTGAAAAGTATAAATATAAATATATCTAAGTATATAGTATATATATATCTCTACTCAATAAAATTACACATTATAGATATGAATGCCTTCATAAAGAATAATGAAATATAATCATGCAAACAAGTGCCATTAATTCTCAGGTAAAGCTAAAAAGAATTGTATCATTCTAAATTTTTTTTCTGTAATAACCTCTGATTACTTAAATTCTATTCTTTTCTCTAAATCACTTCTGCAGCATACGTTCCTGCCCTGTCTCTTTTTGCAGTATGCCTCGCTTCCGGGAGCTTCTCCCCTATCAAGTGGCCCTGGGTCTCCCTCTCCACACACACTCTAACCAGGACCCTCCTCACCTCAGCCTTCCTGGAGTCCCACCATCCTGCTAACACACACCTCCACACCGGTGTCACAGTCCACTTCCTTCATTCCAAATCTTAGTTGCACAACTCTCATAGCTTGGGTTCCTTATTAATGAAAGTTCTCAGTAATAGTTTCCTGATTAACAGTCACAATTTCCTTTGCCAAAAATATTGGGAGACGAAAAGATCAGTGAGCAAATAATAGCAGGACACTCTGCTTTTGACAGTGAACTTCAGCCCTTGTTCAGGAAGCAAAAACCCTACATAATCTCTTGTTTGTGTTGAAATGGTATAAGGATATATACGCCTATGTAGATCATGAGATAGAATATGCCCTACCAATGATCACTTCAGATTGATATAGAATAAGGTCTACCGTTAGACATTCCACACTGGCATGCAGCAGCGCTGCTCACACTGCCTATCACCCCAATAAATGCGATATTAGATATTCCAGACAGAGGTACTAATTTATTAATTCTTTTAGTAAAAACCAGGGCAGGTTGGTGCTGTAAGTGTGCGTATACTAATGGAATCTGCTTTCTAAAGGCTTGCAGATCCTTTTCTCTGACATCTGAGACACACAAATGGTAGTTTGTTGACAGTGACATGGTAATCAGAGTGTCACCCGCTATTTCAGTTCATTTTGCATGTCTATAGAAATACCTGAGGCTTGGTTAGTTATAAAAGGTTTATTTGGTTCAGTTCTTCAGTCTATATAAAAAGTATCAATCCAGCACCTGAGCTTCTAATCCGCCAAAAGGCCAAGGAGGTGCAGGTGAGTAACATGCCACAGAGGGAACAAGAGAGGGAGGAGGGGAGGTGGTGCCAGGCTCTTTTAAACCACCAGCTTTTAAGTGAATAAAGCAAGAATACACTCATTATCATGGGAGGGCATCAAGCCATTTGTTGACAATCTGCCTCTATAACCCAAACGCCTCTCGCCAGGCCCTACCTTCGTCACTGAGGAACAAATTTCAGCATGAGATTTGAAAAGGCCAAATATCCAAACACATCACTGGTCATTCTTAAGTCCCCGAAGATTTTGACTCAAGTGGAGATAACATTCTAAGGTCCATTTACTTGTGGGGCATCACTTCTATCAGCACTCACCATAACACTCAGATGACAGCCCTCTGTGACATATGAACTGAACACTTAGATATCAAACAGCAGCAGGACACACACACACACACACACACACACACACGTGCGCGCATGCAATTTTTCCAGGATTCCACAAACTGCATGCAAACATAAGGAGATATATTCATTTTACATTTAAGGACTGATTTAGTCAAAACAAGTTTTCCACGGAAATTAACTACTAATATTTGAGAGACTAATAAACTTCATTTTGTTGGAAAAGGTGTCACTATGCATACAAAGAGATGTTTTGTAAAACTCCAACTTCAATATCTAAAAAATAATTCCTCTGAAGGAAACTTGAAAGACAGCTCAAATATTTCATCTTAAATAAAAAGGAGAACAACAACAAAAACAACAAAACCCTTCCAGGCTTTGCATCCTACGTAGCATTATTTTCTCTATTCTTTTCTGTTATGCTTCCT